AAAGGGCATTATTTTACAAAATAAGTTTTCCTAATAGGGTGCAGGTGGCTTACACCACCCTAGCTACTCAGGAGGCTTAGTCTAAGGATCACAGTTCAAACCAGCCCAGGCAGGAAAGTCCTAAGACTCTTAGCTCCAAGTCACCAGAAAACCACAAGTGGTACAATGCTCAAAGTGGTGGAGCCCTAGCTTTGAGCAGAAGAGCTCAGAGGCGGCATCCAGGTTCTGAATTCCAACTCCATGAAAGGCAAACAAACAAAAAAATCAAACAGGTTGAAATCTAAAGATCATAGTTCAAATCTAGCCTGGACAGTAGAGTCTATACTAATTAGCCACCAAAAAAGCCAAATGTGGAGCTGTGGTTCAAGTGGTAGAATACTATCTTTGAGCACAAAAGCTCAGGGACAGACCCAGGCCAAGTTCAAATCCTAGGACAGGCACACAACAACAACAAAAAACATGCAAATAGCTACACAATTCTGTCTACATTAATAACATATGGTGATGCATGCCTGTAATCCCAGCATTTAGTAGGTTGAAAAATGAGGATCTCAAGTTAGAGACCAGCTTGGGCAAACCCAAGGGGCAGGAAAGGGATGTTATTTAAAAAGATAGACACTGGGCTGGGAAGATGGCTCAGTGGTAGAGTGCGTGAGCTGAAGAGTTGAGGGACAGGGCCCAGGCCCAGAGTTCAAGCCCCACAACCAAGAAAAAAAAGAAAAAGAAATAGCTCCACAGTTCAGTACTGTACTTTAATTCATCTGTTGACTTGTATAAATCTTGGCAGATTTTTGTTTTTGTTTGTTGGTCTCTGTCACTGGTTCCATCACTAAGCTTTTTTGCTTAAGGCCAGAACTCTACCCTCTTGAGCCACAACTCCACTTCCAGTTTTCTGATGGTTAATCAAAGATGAGTGTCACAGACTTTTCTGTGGGACTTTTCTGTTGGGGCTAGGTACCAACCAAGATCTTTAGTGCTCAGTCTCCTGAGTAGGATTACAGACACATGCCACAAGTTTCCTGCTTGAGTATATATGTTTTCTGTTTTGAACACTGTCACGCCTTTCCTCGCTCTCCCAGTTTTTCCCTCCCATTTCCACCCACAAGTTGTATAGTTCATTTTCAGCAGAGTGTCTAGTGAGTACTACTGCTGTATTTGTTCACCATTTGTCCCTCCATTTCAGTGTTTTTTTTTTTTTTGGGTCCAGTCGTGGGGCCTGAACTCTGGGCTTGGGCACTGTCCCTCAGCTCTTTAGCTCAAGGCTAGTGCTCTACCATTTGAGCCACAGCACCACGTCTGGCTTTTTTTCCCCTGCTTATGCAGTGCTGAGGAATCGAACCCAGGGCCTCATGCATGCAAGGCAAGCGCTCTACCACTGAGCCACCTTCCCAGTCCAGAGCTATTTCTTATAAGACAAAAAGATAGCCTTCCTGATTTCAGTTCACAAATGAGAGTTCATTTCTTTTGTAACAAAACAGCATGCCCTCTATAGCCACAATAATGATGATGATGATGGGGCTAGGAAAGTGGCTCAGTGGTAGAGTACTTGCCTAGCAAACATGAAGCCCTGGGTTCCATTCCTCAGTCCTCATACACAGAAAAAGCCAGAGGTGGTACTATGGTTCAAGTGGTAGAGTGCTAGCCTTGAGCAAAAGAAGCTCAGGGACAGTGCCTAGGCCCTAAGTTCAAGCCCCAGGGCTGGCAAAATGATGATGATGATGATGATAACAACAACAACAACACAATGTAGTCTGCTGCCAGTGGCTCACTATTATCCTAGTTACTCAGAAGTTTGAGATCTGAAGGATTAAGGTTTGCAACCAGCCTGGGTAAAGAAATTTGCTAGACTCCATCTTCAAAATAACTGGCAAAAGGAAGGATTTGGAGGTATGGCTCAAATGGTAGAGCACCAACCTAGCAAGCACAAAGTCCTGAGCTCAACCCCAGTTCTGGAAAAAAAAGGGCACAATGACTTCAAGTTTTATTATAATTTGATTGCCTAGATTAAAAGTATACTGAAATATGGGTGCTGTTGGCTCACACCTATAATCCTAGGTTCAAAGCCATCCTGGGCAGGGAAGTCTGGGAGACTCTCATCTCCAATAAACCACCAGAAAACAGAAGTGGCGCTGTGGCTTAAGTGAGAGAGTGCTAGCCTTGAGCTGAAGACTCCTCAGGCCCAGAGTTCAAGGCCCATGACTGGGGGGGAGGAAGCACATAGCCAAGGATTCAATGCTCAGCAACACATCCACACACCAAACACCCATCCACACCACCCCCCTCTCCCTCCCCCCCACACACATCAAAGGCTATAGGAGCCCTTGGGAGTTTATCTCAGTGATATAGCACTTGTCTAGCATGCTCTAGGTCCTGGGTTTGAACCAAAAAACACATTTTTAGACTAACTCATTCCTTTCTTCTTTTTTTTAATCTTTGTTTTTGTGCCAGTACTGGGGTTTGAACTCAGGACCTGAACACTATCCCAGAGCTTTCTGGTTCAAGGATAGCACTCTACCACTTGAGCCACAACTCCACTTCTGGCTTTTTGGGTATTTAATTGGAGATTAAAGAGTCTTACAGACTTTCCTGCCCCAACTGGCTTCAAACCTAGATCCTCAGATCTCAGCCTCCTGAATAGCTGTTCTTGTTCTATATAGAAGAAACATGAAATCAGTATACATGCTATTTCATGTCCTTTTTTAATTTAAAAACTCAAATATTCATAACCCAGTTATATTTTTGAGTTATTTTTTCTTATCCACACTGTGACTCACCTATCCATTACTTTTCACATCATGTAAACACAATCCTAGATGCTAAACACAACTCAAGCATATAAAATTAATTACACTGGTTTTGTAGTCATAATACTTGTACTAATAAACACTGACTCTAAAAAACTAAAAAAAAAGAACAATGTTTAATTCACAAGGGGGTAGAAAGAAAAAAAAGATCCTCCCCAACCACAAAAGCAGTACCAACATGTCAAGTTTCCTATAGTGCAATGGTGTAAACAAGGGAGAAAAGCTCTGGGGGTGGTTAGTGGGCAGGCAAAAGAACAACTCCCCTCAAGATAAAACTACTTCCAGACTACACTAGAGTAATAGCTCTTCTCGGTGTGTTTTGTTGGCCAGAAAACTAAATTACATTCCTTGTTTGAAATCATCTGGACATAATAGGTGCAAGCAAAGGGCCAGAGGTGTAGCTCAGTTGTACAGCACTTGCCTAGCATGAAAGAGGCCCTTGGTTCCATCTCCAATATGGAGAAACAAAGATACAAGCAAAGCTCACAAACACCTAATTCTTCTTTCTTTCTTTCCTTTATTTTTGCCAGTCCTGGTGCTTGAACTCAGTGGGCACTGTCCCATAGCTTCTTTTGCTCAGGCTAGCACTCTGCCACTTGAGTCACAGCACCACTTTTGGCTTTTTCTGTTTATGTGGAATCAAACCCAGGGCTTCATGCATGCTAGATAAGCACTCTACCACTAACACACATTCCAGGCAACAAACAATTCTAAAGATAGGATGCATTCAAAGCCTCAGAGTATTTTTCAACACCTATTCTGTCCCACTCCTACTTAATGATTGGCTTTACAGATAAAATACTAAAACCTACCAAAAATGCTACACACACACTCACAAAGGAAAAAATAAAACCCATACCATTTTTTTTTGTTCTACCACACCTACAAGGCTCCCATTAACAGAAGTCATTCAGCATGGGGTTAAGGTGAGGGGTGGGATAAACAGTAGGAAAAGCTGGCATTGCTTTAAAACACTTAGTGGACATGAAAATAAAGAGGCATTGGATTGTGCAAGAGATGCCAAGAGAAACAAGATTCCACATGTCAAGGGACTAAATGCCCAACACCGAGCAAAGGGCACTCACCCCCCATTGCTTTCTATCCGAAGACTGGTTGCTTCACCTGAAAGCTTTTCAAAGAAATCTAATGGTGTCTGCTCTCCTCACCCTGAGTGAACTCAACAGCCCCTACAGAACATGGGAAGACTTGCTTATCAAAAACAGCAAATACTGCTTCACAAGCCAAGAAACATTCACCTATGGGTGATAGTCTGTTCCAATTCAACCTTCTACAACCTAACTTCAAGCCAAAAATACTTGGGTCCTAGCCTGTCAAGTTCTCCATTTTCCCAAAGGTTTATCAACCTCATTTTCTTTTACAATAAGCCCCTCTCTTCACTCCTATTCTGGAGGCCCTTCTTCAAGTTCCCTAGTTGAAGGTTTCTGCCAAGGCTCCAGTGCGTTCACAAAGTTCCCTCCCCCAAAATCATCCCCTTTCCCCCACTTTTCAAAGATTTTTTTTTCCCTCCAGGCCTCATCCTAGAGAAAAACCATTAATAGGTCCCACCTCTCCTAAACACAACTCTAACACAAGCTATCTACCCTCCCCACCATAATCATCACCCCCCCCCGCAATAATCTTTTTTCCTTCTCTCTCCTTGAGTGGACATACACACCACACAAACGCGCGCGCGATCTGTTCTCAGCTCCAACTCCCTAATCTTTCCCGTGCCCCAGGTTCATCCAAAGCACCTAACAATCCCCCCCCACACACGCACAGTTTCCCCCAATCCTGTCATCGTCAGCCCCCATTCCAAATCCCATACCTTCCCCACACACATCTTAAATCCCAATTTCCCGAGCTTTCTACTCCTCAGCTAGCACCACACGCTTTTCCTTCCAGTCTACCCTCTATGCCACCTCTCCTCTGCCCACGTTCCTGGGGCGCTACCTTCCGCAGAACCCCATCTCCCTCCTGCTTCCACAGCCCCCTAACTCTCTTCTAGTTCCGCTCAACACCCGCCCCCATTTCTCCCCTTGCCCCCCGGGGCTCCCCCATTAGCTTTGGCCGTCCCAGCGAGGAGAGCCACCTCGCTTCCCGCCCGGCCCGCCCCGCCGCCTCGGCTCGGCTCGGGTGTCCCTGCCCTCCCCTCGGGGCCGAGGCCGCCGCCGGCGCTGGCACGGCAGGCCGGCTCACCAGTTGGTCATGTCCAGGAAGAAGGCGCAGCCGGCCGGGTTGAGCTGGAAACCGAGCAGCCGCTGGAACTCGGAGATGAGCACGTCCTTGTCGGTGGTGCCCAGGCAGCTAAACTTCTGCATCAGCTCCGGGTCTAGGTCCACGTCCATGCCCTCCATGGCGGGGGCCGGACGGACGCTCGCTTCCCCGCCTCCTCACAAGCAAGCTGCCGCCGCGCTGCCGGGCCCGGGGACCGGGAGGGGGCCCGCTGCCGGCCGGAGCCGCGACCCCGTTCCTCCGAGGTAAGCCCCGGGCCTCTCACCGCCTC